TCCTGTCTCAGGGTTGTATAGTATGCACCCTACAATGAAATTATTCGTTTCCGTGTCCATATCTTTTCCAAGGCTATGGACCACTGGGGGCAGGTCAAGCGGTCAGTCCCCACTTTAGTCGTTATAATTCTCACCACTTCAATCCACTGATGGCCCCCACTAGCTGGTTCCAGCCAGCCTGGGATTTGGTGTCTCAGGTATCATTGCTGTATTTCTACCTTCCATACCAACAATGTGGCCAGCCTTTTTTTGCCAGCCAAACTGGGAGCCCAAACACGGGAGAGTGTAGAGAGCTAACGTTGGTTTGGCCCAGGATCTGGGACTGTTCTTCTGCCTTCCTACGCTGACTCACAGACTCAGCTTGCAGTTGGCCTGGGTACCTTGCCGAGAAGTCCAGTTCTCTCTAGGCTTGGAGGCTGTCCTGACCATGGTCTGTTCCACTTGGGCTAACATACACAGTGGGTGCTTTTGATAACTATCTACTGCAGGGGTCCTCAAACTTTTTAAACAGGGGGCCAGTTCACTGTCCCTCAGACCGTCGGAGGGCCGGACTATAGTTTAAAAAAAACTATGAACAAATTCCTGTGCACACTGCACATACCTTATTTTGAAATAAAAAAACAAAACGGGAACAAATACAATATTTGTATTTGCATGTGGCCCGCGGGCCGTAGTTTGAGGACCCCTGATCTACTGAATGAATGAACACAAGCCCTCCCATTTTACTTCATTAAAGATGAGTATGTTTAACCTTACACATACCACTTAGGTATCTGATTTCATCTGTCACTTAGTTTTGCTAGGATCACTATCAGGAGGAAAAGACTGAAGGCAGATGGTCAGATCGCTGGGGCAGCAGGCAGTCACTGACAAGATGGGGAGTGGTCCGAGAAAACAGGCAATGGCAGGAGAGAACAGAGGGAAAATGCTAAGCAGAGCAGCACAGCCATGTAGGGCCACTGAGCCTAGGAGCAAATGGCTCTCTGCATCTCAAGAGGCCCAAGTGCTTCCCTGAGTGCCAAGGCCAAACACACAGGCAAATGGTTGGTAAAATTCACTGAAAACACCAGGCAAGACCCATCCAATTCATAGCTCTGGAGGGCATCGGTACATCCAAGTACCACACTCAAAACAAGGCCTGCGTCATTAAGAGAAGGTTAGATGATATTCAGTACACTCTGTCAACAGGCTGTAAAGAGCAAATACATTTTAGAAACAGTTCCTTCTATAAATGTGTATTTTCTCATTGATGTTAGAGCTTAACGTAGTAAACTGCAGTTATCTAGACAATTAGGGCCACCTTATTCTCCAAAGATCTCAGATGGATAAGGCACCATGGCACACATAGGCACACATCACTGACAATAAACCCAAGTTCTTTCTAACAGAGGCCCTCAGGGACTTGGAGACGGCCTGATTAAAACCTGAGGGTTTTAAAATAAGTTCTTTTAAGAGAAACAACTCTGAGGCATCAGCTGGTATCTTTAAGACATCACTCATATCCTGAATTATCTAGCTCCCAGCCAGACTAAACTCCACCCACCCAAATTAATCTGGATCACCCAGATTTCTGATTGGAGCTTGATTCTCCTGTTACCTTGGCTACCCTTCTAGTTCCTATTCTATGGCCCAAGATTCATCTTCATGATCCTTACTCCTCTGTTTAACTTCTGGTGTCATCTACGTGGACACGTGGTGTCTGACTTTGGCTTTGCCCCATGATGCCACCTCCTGACTCCCAGATTGGCTCTGACATTCACTTCTGTCCACTCCAGAGATGGCTCCTGCCCACTTGGTCTTGTTTTACTACTGTTTTATGCTTTGCCAGGCTATGCCAGGAGGTCAAGCTGCATCCACATAATAATGAAATATGTTACTCTGGGTTTTGCTTAGCTATTTAAAAAATTTTTTTAAAAAATTTATTTCAGGGAGGATGGTATTGATTTCAGAGAGTAAGGGAGAGGGAGAGAGAGAGAGAAACATCAATGAGAGAGAATCATGGATCAGCTGCCTCCTGCACACCCCACACTGGGTAACGAGCCCATAACCCGTGCCTGTGCCCTTGACCAGAATCGAACCCAGGACCCTTCAGTCCACAGGTCAATGCTCTATCCACTGAGCCAAACCAGCTAGGGCTTCTTGGCTATTTTGTATATGACTCTAAATACATTCATCTTGTTTGAATTAGGCTCCCTTAAAGGTGGTACTTTTTTTTTTTTAAATCCTCACCTGAGGATATTTTCCCATTGATTTTTAGAGAGAGTGGAAGAGAGGGAGAATGGGGAGAGAGAGAAATATCCACGTGAGAGAGAGACATCCACAGGTTGTCTGCCACAAGCACGCCAACCCAGGGCCAGGTATCAAGCCTGCAACTGAGGTGCCCTTGACTGGGAATCAAACCTGAGATCCTTCGGTCCATGAGCTGATGCTCTAACCACTGAAAAAACTGGCTAGGGCTAAAGGCGGTACTTTTTTTCTTTATTGATTAAGCTATTACATGTGTCCTTATCACCCCATTGCCCCCTACCCCTGCCCCATGCTCTCACGCCCCTGATGTCTATGTCCATTGGTTATGCTTAAATGCATGCACACAAGTCCTTTGGTTGATCTCTCCCCCTTACCTCCACCCTCCCCTACCTTCCCTCTGAGGTTTGATGGTCTGATTGATGCTTCTCTGTTTCTGGATCTGTTTTTGTTCGTCAGTTTATATTGCTCATTATATTCCATAATGAGTGAGATCATGTGATATTTATCTTTCTTTGACTGGCTTATTTCGCTTAGCATAATGCTCTCCAGTTCCATCCATGCTGTTGCAAATGGTAAGAATTCCTTCTTTTTAACCGCAGCATAGTATTCCATTGTGTAGATGGAAGGTGGTACTTTTTTATCTGACTTTTCTCTAAAAGTGTGTAAACAGTACACACTTTGACTATCCTTTTCACAATGGAGTATATCTCATGCCCAAGAAGTAAAATGGCTCAAATCCTAGCTGGTTATAGTTACTCAGGAATAAGAGCGCTAAAAGTCAGATGCAAATGAAGATAGTTAATTGCCTTCTGGGATCTAAAAGGGGAGTCTTAGCCCTAAAAAGCCATTATGAAAGAGGTTCTCACACTTCAATGTGCAAAGAGTTAACTAGGAAGCTTGTAAAAATGTAGAATCCTGGGCTCCATCCTTAGAAAGTGTAATTCAGTGATCTGGGTGCAAGAATCTGCATTTTTAACAAAGAGCCTTAGATATATGATGCAGTTGGCCCTTGGTCTACCCTTTGAGAAACACTGTATCACACAGTTAGAAATCTGATAAACATGGGGACAAACACAGTAATTAAAGGACCCCATCAATCCTCTCCTTCTTAGAAGATATGATGCACCTTAGAAGCTATGATGCATTTGGCCAATTCTTTCCTAATACTCTTATTACTGAACATCAGTTCAGTTCCAAGACCAACTTATATTTGTTTTGGTGAAGACAATGTAAAATCTCCAAGTTTCCATAAAGTTTCCATATGTGCCCTTGACTGGAATTGAACCCAGGACCCTTCAGTCTGTGGGCTGATGCTCTATCCACTGAGGGCAGTGCTACTTTAAATAAGGAATGAAAATATCCATTTGATACAGAAAAACCTTCAAATTAACTCTTCAGCCATACACACTAGTATATTATTGGTGAAGAACTTCCGTACCTGGCCCGTCTGATGCCCAGGGGCCTGGCAGACGAAGAGCAGTGGAGCCCAGGAAGCATGGACAGACCAAGTGTCCTTGGCCACATCCCTAAACAATCCTAGAGGGGAACCTCAAAAAATAAGTTTATTTGGGAGGATTCTGATGGGGATAGGATGCTTTTGGGATCCAAGATGACAGAAGATATTGATGAGCTATTAGATCCAGGAGGCCTGTCTGATATTTGAGATAATGGGGGCTCCATTTGTTTCAGGACGATGCCTCCATGTTTGCACTACCATGGCTTATGGCTTGCGGGGGATATATGGACTGACTGATGCAACCATTAAGGATGTTACAGCCCCATTCTTACTATTACTGGGATATGTGTACGCATTTGTGTTTTTCCTAGGAGGATCTTTATTTTTTCTCCCAAATCTCACAACTGGTTATACAGATGTTTAATTGAGAGGAATAATTATGAATTACATTTTTTTTCTTTCAAACTTTCCTATCTGACTCATTTATCGCCTTCATTACAAGTGTTCTAAATACTGTAAAATTAAAGTTAAAAAAATAAACATTGCTAGTAGGCAAGCCCAAGTCTAGAAAAACTGTTTTAAAAAAACATTAATGTTTCTTAATTGAGAGCCTTGTGTACTGTAAGAATGCTAATTCACAGAAAAAAGAAATTTAAAGTCAGAATAAAAAGTAGACAAAGTTGACTGAGAATGAAATACAGGCAGATTAACTCCATGAAGGCAAAGGGACAGTGAGACTCGATGGCTAAGAATGACCACAGGTAGAGAATACCAGTTAAAAGCGCACCAAGTTAGGAGTGTATTCTGGGAAAAATGCCTAATTAGGAAATTAAAGCTGAACTGTTGACCTAGAGCTTTCGAACACTGATATGCTTTGGGTAAATAAAGCAAGGAAGAGAAATTTTTATCCGACTTCTGTTTGCTATTCAACTCTGACCCTTGCCTACTGAATGACTTCAAATATCTGTTATGGGAAAAAATGATACCACTTTAATTTCCGGCTCCATCCCCATCTGGCCAGGGAGAGAATAAATTAATATTATCATGTTTTGTCTTTGGGGCCTCTGATACCCTCGAGGACAAGACTGTGGGACAGTCTGCGTTGGCAGTGATTCTCAGCCAGAATCAGAAGAGCAAGATTCAGGACAAGGCCAGTTCACGTAACACAGCTCAGAGCCATACAACACAACTTGCTCCGAGGATGTTGGGCATTGTGCTTCATTAGGAAACAAAATATAAGCTTTCCACACCATTAGGAATGACTTTAGGAGTGAAAGCACATAAGACGATGCCTCAC